AAATATTTATAGGATCTGTCAATAATTGTGCCCCGACTGGAACAATTCTCCAAACAGCAAAGTTGCTCAGTGAGGTTCTCAATTCTGCCAGACTTTCGATCCCGAATATACCTCGATGTTGCCATTTCTTGTAATAATTGAAGTATGCTGCAGTGTCTGTAACCAAAACCATTTTATCATGGAGGAGATTGAGAGGAGATAATTCTGAGCTGGCATAGTCATTTAAAGTAAAAACAACTTTGGAGAGAGTGATTGGTTGAATCGCTTCATTTTGCAGCTGGGGAAAGTGAGGACCAGGGCGGTCATGGAACTCTTTCAAGGTCATGCTTCTAGCCAAATTCTGGATCCTAGGTCTCCTGTTTTTTGGGTAAAAACCACTTTTGCCTAAAGCATACTTTAAAATCCACAGAAGAGCATCAAGATAGCCAGGCAGTGCTATCCATCTTAAAAATCATGCTGACTTCTGCCAGCTGATGAAGGAAATAAAGTTAATGACGCCCACATAAATGCGATGCTGTCGCAGGGTCTGCACATAGGCTGCCTGGAGGGGAGTTCTGCAGGTCCTCTGAAAAAGCCGAGAGAGGTTTTCAGTGTCCGTTAAAAGGAAGCAGTGTCTCCCCTTTATGCACAGACAAGATTGGGGCATGTGTCCCTACAGAGTGACTAGTTTTGTACTGGACACATAAGCGCGTGATGACTAAGGGTCTGGTGAAGAAGTGAAGGCAGCATCATCACTGAGGCCAACTCCTCTCAAGCCTTTGTGGACACGAGCCTCTGTCTTTAATGAAGAGCTTATCAGAACTGGAGGGAACAGAGAGGTGTCAGACGTAGTCCTTTGAGCTGATTGTTAAGATAATTGAGTCCACAAGAGAAGAGACTGGTTAAGGCCATGTTGAAAGATGGGAGCAGAGCCGACTTTTGAAGCAGGGGCTCTCAAACCATAGCCCAATTGGTTTTTTACCAATGCTCTGCGTGGTTGCAACCTCTTACATTAGGTGGTCTCAAAATTATATTCCCTATGTATCTCGTTACCAGGCTTGCAAATATGCGGAAGTTCTGTGCTGATTCATTATTCCATTTGCCAGTCTAGGGTCCCTGTCCGAGCTGTCCGTAGGGAACAAAAAACACCTCATTTTCTTTTCTCTCTCTTACTGTTTCTAAGCTTCCAAAGGGGGTGTATTGAGGGACATTTTGATTGACCCTAATTCAAACTTCTTTCCTTAGGGAAAAGTCCTTGTCCCTTTTGAGAAGCTCCTAGACACATTCCGCAGTACCCAAAATGCAGCAGGTAAGATTAGAGGTAAATTATAGCTATGTTATCAGGAGGAAGAGATCAAGGTGGTCATCTGCCCCTCTTGGCAAGTATGGAAACCAGGAAGCTGGAGAGGCCACCTCAAGGGACAGCTCATTTACCCTTCAACTGGATTTTTTTTTTTTTTTTTTAAGGACTGAGATATAAAACAAACATGCATTTTGCCATGTTTCTTTAGATCCTAGTGTGGATAGAAACAGTTTCCCTTCAAGGTTCTGATGACCTTTCTTGGCAAGTGAGTGCCATATTTAGTACAAAACCATGCAAGGAAGCATCTACTGGGATGGGAGATGGAAGTGGCACATAAAGAAAAGCTAATCTTTGTTTTTTTTTTTTTTTTGTGGGAGGAACCATGCATGGATTAGATCTGATTTATCTCTCTGCCTTTATTCCCTTCTCAAGCACAAAATAGATCCCTTTTTGTTTCACTGGGATAGCTTGTGGGTCCATGAGGGGCATTTTCTCAAGCAAGCTAGACTCCCCTCCTCATTATAGTTAGCGCATCAGAGCAGCCAATTTTAAATTTGGTTATTTTACACTACGGTTCAAAACTCCAGGTAATATTGCCTCTCCTCTTTCCTCTGGCCATGTTTGGAGACATATTTTGATTGTCGCAACTCAGGGAGGAAGTCTAATTGGCACAGCAATGCTGCTAAACACCCTATGATGCACAGGACAGCCCCTGTAACAAAATCTTACCCAGTTCAAAATGTCAACAGTGCCAAGGCTGAGAAACAGTTTTATACCATGAGTCTGCTTGAGTCTCTCAGAAGGCAAGAGAATTTTGAAGTCAAAAGGGTCCCGTCCCAGCCATAAACCTTAGTAAGGGGTCTGAGAATTAAAGTCAAGTTTCCTTTGGCTTGAAAGGAGGTTTGAAAGAAATATGTTTCTACTATTAACAAAAAATACTGACACAGCTTTGTCCATTATTTTTGACCAGTTGGAATATAAGGCCCCATCCCTAATGAAAAGTAAGGAGGCAAAATTTAGGTTATTGAGTATTAGATTGTCACCTATAGAATTTTAGAACCTTAGCCTTTTAAAATGTCAGAGTAGGAACTTCAGCCAAATCGCCTCACTTGAGTTATGGGGACCCAGTCGATGAGCTCTGCGGTGCTGTTTGTCTCTCAAGACCCCATATCTGCCTTTCTAAGGCCTCAGTTTGTTCCACAAGCCAGTGCTGCCTCACTCACTTGGATCGTTGCGTTTGTTTTGCTGTCGTCGTTGCTGTTTCGCTGGTTGCGTGCTGATGCAGCAGCCCTTCTGTTACCAAGAGCTTTTCCTAGCCCCCAGATTTGCCCAGCAAGGTGAGCAGCTGGCATCATTTAATATAAGGAGTACCTGGGTGCCTGAAATGATTGGATTGGCTCATTTCAACACAGTGCCTGTCCCTTGGGGGAGAAGGGGTTATTTACATGGAACTTGCTAGGTCTCCATTTATCCCTATGTACATTTTAATAAGCCCCTAGATTTTTAACACTTTTGTTTGTTCACCTAAAATTCAAAAATTGAGCATAAGAAATGAAAAGACCAATAGAACAAAGACAACCTAGTTGCTTTACCCCCTAGTGATCTTCTTCTTCTTTTTTTTAAAAATTTCTCTGAAAACATTGTTGGGGGGTATTTCTTTACTTCTATTTTTATTTTTACTATTATTTTACATTTCAGAAATGAATATTTTCTCAACAAATGACGTAGCCATTTCTATATTTTGAAAATACAGTGGTACCGCCAGTTTTCTAATAGCTCTCCATAGTCATGACTCTTCTTTTCTTATAAACATGGGGAATTATATCCCATATCCATTGTAGCTCACGTGTGCTTTCAAACATGTAGGGGCAGGAGACGAAGACTGATTTCCTGATAGGCTACCACCAGTTTAACTGAAGAATTAACACAGTGGATTCATATCCTTACCAAGATGACTATAATGCAGATCTAGACTGAGTCTCCCTTTTGTTGAAAGACAATGTTTGGAAGAGGAAAATCAAGCTTTGCATGCTGTTCATCCAGAGAAAAGGGGTGGTAGTAGCGTGGGGGAGAATAATGTGCTTCGTCCTATTAATTTGCTCTTTAATCTCTCTGGTTCCGTACTGTCTCATTTAGACAAACAGAGAATCAATTTGCATACAAATGTTACCAAGTACCCCACCTCCACAACATTTTACAGTTCCACTAGGTATGTAGGGATGAAAAGATCTGCTGTTTTTAATAGGACACTTCCTGCCCTTTCCTCCATAAAGTAGCTGCATTTCACAAGGCCCTGGATGGTTGTACTTTTCTTCATGCTCTCTGACTGTCTACTTGCATTCCCAGCTGTGGTCAGGACTGTGGCCTATCAAAGAATTATTTGAACTGGAGATTAGAAGCGCTAGCATTGGGTATCTCAGAGAAGTGGTGGGGTGGGTGGCCCTTTCTTCATCTCAAGAGAAAGATATGAAGAGAGGCTCACAGAAATTTACAATTTGAGGGGCTCTGTCATTCATTTAACAAATCAACCAATGGCTCAAACTAACAATTCATTTGCAGTGTAATAAAACAAAAATTGTTTGCTGTTTTGTGATGTGAGAGGATACTATTTGGTGGTCACTTATTTTTCATAGCAACCTGGAGTTGGTTTTTCAAATGACTGTTAATCCAAAACCATAGTAAGACATGAGAGGCAGGGATCTAAAATGAGGAAGATTAATGATCCCTGCAGGTCATGGAAGAAGAATAATTTTTTTCAATTCGCATAAATGGAATTTTATGTGATAACCGCCTCTGAAGATAGCATGATTCACTCAGATAAAAGAGAACTATCTAATTTTAATGCTTCTTGAAGAGATGATTTTTCACTTTTCACTTTTGTGAACATAAGATTGCCAGGCCTATAGGCGGAAAATTTTAACCTGGGAGACAATGGATGGGGAATTCAGGTATTAAGCCAGAGATAGGCATAAATTAAGAAACAAAACAAACAAGAATTGCCCATCAGTTCAGGATCTGCAGCTAACAGAGTGGAGTTTGGAAAGGTGGGAGGGGGAAAGGAAAGAGTCAAAGTTTCAAAAGGGAAATGTTTACTAGGATATGTTCCTAAATAAATCCATTCTGCACCCAAGTTCAGGGCTTTACAAACTGAAGTCATCACACGGTTGTTTTCAAGCACTAAGCCTCAGTAATCCTCCCCCATTCCGCAGAAAAGAAAACAACAACAAAAAAGGAGAGAAAATGAAATGTTCTGTGTCCAGTGAGTTTGAGTGCAACCTTCCCCGTCACCGCTAGTTGTCACTTGGCTCCCAGACGGGAGAGCTGAGATTTTCGGCACTGCGGTTAGAGAGAATGCAGTCCTAATTAAACTGAGTAACTCCTAAAGCTTCCCTGTGAAGTCCTCATCCAAGTGAGAGCCAATATACAGGGGGGCCGCGGACCAGTGGTGGTGGGGGGGTGCAGCAAGCGAAAGGACAAACAAACAGCAAGACACAGGCAAACAGCTGCCAGATCAGCGACTGTCTCAGACCTACACGCACAAGCCAGACACCCTGCGGGCGAGGAGGGAGGGGGGAAGGGGGACGGAGGATGGAAGGACCCGATTGCAGCTGTATACAGAACCCCTCTCCTCCCAAATGATGGGACCACAGACAGTCAGCCTCCGCACTCCTTCCCCCCATTTCCATCAGAGCGATCTGGTCAGTAGAAAATTGCATACCTGAAGAATACAATGGTCTCCCAAAGGTAGAGTCGAAGAGTATTGAAGCTGTACATTTTTCAGGTCCTTGTGCTTTGTAGTCCACGAGTTATGGGGGCAAGAATGTTTCCAATTGCACTTACAAAACCAGCGAGAGCTATTGAAAAAAATAATCCAGATGTGAAGGGGAGGTGGGGCACAGGGGCGCGAAGCGAGAGCCCCAGGAGAAATTCAAGCGAGGGGTTGTAGGTACCACGGACAGAGGCGGCCACGAAGCGTTTCAGCACCACGGAGAGCGCCCAACCCTGCTTTTCAGGAGCGCGAAGAGTATTGCTGTTTGTTAAACTCCAGCGTGTCTGTTGGCTCCCTGCGGCGCTGGGGAGGCACGTTTGGGGGTGGGTATATTTTCTTTCTTTCTTTCTTTTCTTTTCTCTCTCTCTTTCTTTGTTTTTACTCCTGTTTTTCTGTTTAAACGGCCAGCTCCATGCAGAGAAAAAAATTCTTCTGTGGAGATCAGATCGCTGGCCTCGGACGGTTAGACTGGGCGAGCATCTTGGGTAGAGAGAGCAGGGTTTTATGGCTCTGGGCTTGCCTGAAGGGGTCAGGGGCGAGGGGAAAGCGGTTGACGGCGCTGCTTTCAGTTAAATCTCAGAGAGTGTGCCAGGCTGGCGCATCGCTACCGAGTCCCGGAATCTCCTTCCCCTGTCTCCGTTCCGGTCTGCTGTTGCCTCGCGATCCCTGTTCTCTGGTCCCCGCCGAATAAGTTATGATCGCTGCAGGAAAGGTGTCCCATTGCTCGGGGCTGCAGGCGTGAGAGAGCCCAGGGCAAGTTTCAGGGGCTGCCTGGGTCCATGGCTACCCCTCGGGGCTCAGGAGCCCTGGGCTTCAGATGCATCTCGGTTTTTTGAGCTCGCCCATCTTCCTTTGGCCAGGACTCCTTCAGATCTTCAGACTTTCTTACTGCATTAATTTAACAAACTGGCGGCGCAGGGGTTGCGGGGGGTGGGGGTCATGGCTGATGGGAGGGGGTGGAGAGAAAAAAGGGGGGAAAACTCCTTAAAATCTTCAAACCCTCCCACTCGAGGTGTTCATTGGCCCACAGCTGCGAAAACCAGATCTTCTCCCAGTATTTGGCCAATCGCGTGTTAGGCTATGGGTTGAATTTAACGCTTAGAGTGCTGGACTAGATCCGCGTCACCACCCCCTTTACAAACCCCCAAGCTTCTTTGCGTGCGGGCCCGTGTGGTGGGGGAGGTTATGGAGTTAATCTCTCATGTTGGCTCAAAATATTGCCTTGGTTTTTAAAAGACGGTGTTTACATGTGAGTAAAACACTGTGGGTCCCAGTTCAGACGTGCTTCTGGGCTCAGCTTATCATTTTAAAAGGCAAGAGTTGAATCGGATCCTCAAATTCCTTTAGAGCTCTGAAGTTATAATATTTGAGCCCAGAAGGAAATGAGAGATTTTTCAAAAAGAAGTTTGGTGTGTAGAGGAAAACACCCTGCCAGGTCACTGCTGCAGGAAAATACAGGAGAAACTCCAGGGCAGTTTCCAGGATCAAGAGGGAGCTGTCCTGGCTGGCACCTTTTGGGGAGTGAAGGAAGATGTACCCTCTTCCAAATGGACATGAGACTCTTTTATTCACATTTTTTCAGGCTAGGAAAACTGAATCTTGTAGTGCTCATGGCTTGTGCCATAAAGCCAGAACCAAGTTGTACACACAGGTACTCAATACGTCTTACTCTCACTTACTGTTTTTTTCCGATCTCCTTTTGTTTTCCCACCTTATTTTGAGTCTCAGAAATCAGCTATACATTTCACTCTAGAGCCCATCTGGAGAGGTGGAGTTAATCAGATTTTCTCCGAGCTACCGGACTTTAGTGGATTAATAGCTTCTGCAGGATTTTCTGGCTGATTTGAACTCACTGGAACTCTGGGTCTCTTCCTCCCAAGGCTACTGAAAGGACAGCTCCTCCCCCTTACCCAGCAACTTCAGGAATTTCTTTGGATTGTTTGGATGCCACTTCTCACTAGAATAAATCTCAACAGCTCAGCTCTCTCCAAGTTCAGGCCTCCTCTCATATGAGTCAGAAAAACTCTCCAAAAAAAAAAAAAAAAAACTTTTTTTCCCCAGCCTCTCAGCAGCTGGGTCTCTCCTCTCTCCCCCTGCACTGGTAACTGCAGGCCCCCACCGCTCTTTCCTTTATGGCGTCCATATATCAGAATTTCCATCAAGTTCTGAGTAGTGACTGAGAAGGACATTTTACTTTGAAAGTGGGTATTCATGAGTCTGATACAAACGTATATGTAGGTATGTGTATGAGAGGGTCTTCAAGAAAATTCATGGAAAATGTGTATTGTGAAAAAAATGTGATGGATTAAAACAATATTTTTGTACCAGAATAAACTTGTATTTTAAGTTTATTTCCATGAACTTTTTGAAGTACCAACACATATTATATATATTCACACACACATAATATATGTACATAATGTATATGTGTGTAACAAAAGCTACCCTTTATTAGCATGCTTTCTCTGTGTCAGGCACTACTACTTTTCATAGTCACACCTTGAGGCAAATATTGTCTTTGTGCATGTGTTTGTGTACATGTATGTTTGCACATTTGTAAGGATGCATATTTCTGGGTATATAAACTTATTTTTGATATGTACCCTTCCCAATTCTGAATTTGATATGCATATGTGTATTTGTACATTTGTGTTTGTAAACAGGTTTCTGCCCATGAAGTGGCATATACATACATACATACATACATATAAATAGATACACACACATACATGTATACATACTATATATAGGTTGTTAATCAGTACTTCACCTTATACCTTACATATTTTGTATCCTTATTAAAAGTATACTTAGATCTTTCTGTTCTTGCATAGATTGTTGTTGAAATAAATGGGCTTGATAGTTACAGATTCAGGTCCTTATTTTATCTCTGTAACAAAATGTCTAGATGTTCAATAAATGGCTAAATTTTGGGGAGTGAGCCTATGTCAAATGAAACCTGTAAGGCCCACTCCTCTCATCATAAAACAATTGCATAGGCTAGTCACATAGCACAGGCTGGAAGCTGCTGCTAAGCAGGCTGAGGCCACAGAGGAAGCCTGGGTTGATTCCCTTCTCACCCTAAAAAGCCAGGTGCAATGGCATGCACCATAGCCCCAGCTCTTGAGAGCCTGAGGCAGGAGGATCATGGTACACTGAGTCCCTGTCTAAAACCAATACATTCCTCTCTCTTTCTCTAAACAAGCAAACAAATAAAAAACGGTGTAGAATGACATTTAGCTCTAGTTTTACTGTAACTCAACTGTAGTAGATGAACAACTCTATGGAATGGAGTGGATTGGCTTCAGATGGTTCATTTCCATTGGTAAGTGTCTGAGTAATTCCAGATTTTTTTTTTTTGGCTATAGGGCACGTGCACTTGCCAGAAAGACAGAGAGAGACAGAGAGACAGAAAGCAAGAAATCACCCCCCCCCCTCGGGGGGATGGTCACACCACAATCCCTCCTCCTCCATTCTCCTCTTTGGATCTTGAGCGCTCATACACATGCACCCGGCGTGAGTTTAAGCCACTGGGTCTGGAACTCAAACCGCAGTTGACTACATGGGAGTCCAATGACATAGCCATTACACTAACTGCTGGTCCCAGTAATTCCAGTTCTTGACTGGTCCCTTATAGGTCACAGTAGCGAAATTTGAGCCCTATAAAGTATGAGCAGTTTTTTTTTTCTTTTTAGGTTTTTGCCATATGGTGCATGCATTTGCTAGAGAGAGACAGACAGAGACAGTGAGAGGAAAAGTGAGGAATCACTTCCCAGGGGGTGTTGGCCATGCTGTAATCCCTTCTCTGGTGTAATTTTCAAGCTGACAGGTCTGAGCCTTGAGCTCTGGTTGGCCATGTGGGAATCCAGCCCCTTGATCACTATGCCAGTTGCTGGCCCCAGTCTGAGCAAATTCTGACACACAGTGAGTCCTATTTTATTACTAGAAGAGACTCATTCTTTTATTAATTCTGGAAACACCTATTGAGCATTTACTGCATATCAGGCACTATTCTAAGCACTGGGAATATAGCAAGGAACCAAACAGGCAAAGCCATCTACTCTAATAAAGTGTGTCTTTTAGAAAAAGAAAACAATATAAATAAGGAAATATATGATATGTTAGACAATCATAAGGATTTAAAAAAAAGGCAGGGTAAGGGGCAGACAGTGACATGGAGGTGTTATTTTATTTACAGCAATCAAATCAGGGAATGCCTTCTAAAAAAGAGACATTTGATCAAAAAATTGATGGCAGTGAGAGTATGAGCTTCATGAGCCTTGGGAAGGGGAAGGGAGCTTTACAGGCAGTGGGAAAACAAATCTAAAAGCTCTGAACAGAGTATACTTGGAGTGTACAAGAAACAGCATGAAGGTGTGTATACCTGGACAGAATGAGTGAAATGGATAGTGACAGGCGGCAAGGTTAGAGAGCAGCTGAGGCTCCATCTTGTACTACCTCCATGACACCACAAGGACTTCGGATTTTATGCTGAATAAGACAGGAAGCCATTGGTGGGTTTGAACAGAGGAGCCACAACATCTAACGTTTAAACAAAAAAAATCTGCCTACTGTGTACTATGTATGCTGTATTTAGAATAAAATATGGAATGAGAGTTGGCAAGGGGGATAGCAGAGAAACTATTTAGGAGCTATTGAAAATATTTATGTGAGAAATTCTGATGACTAGTCTTATTCAGTACTTATTTTTTTAAGAGAGATTTTTGCTATAGGGTGTGTGTATTCGCTGAAGAGACAGAGAAAGAGACAGAGAGATAGAAAGTGAGAAATTACCTCTTAGGGGGATGGCCATGCTGCAATCCCTTCTCCTTTATTCTCCTCTCGGGATTTGGGGCATGCATGCATACAAACCTGCGTGAGTTTTAAGCTCCCGGGTCTGGGACTCAAACCATAGTCAACTACATGGGAGTCCAGCAATATAACCATTATGCCATCTGCTGGTCCTAACTCCTTTTTATTTGGAGAGATTTTTGCTGTAGGGCACATGCGCTCGCTGGAGAGAGAGAGAGAGACAGAGAGAGAGAGAGACAGACAGAAAGAGAGAAATCACTCTCCGGAGGGATGGCCATGCCACAGTCCCATCTCTTCTATTCTCCTCCTGGGGTCTTGGGCACACACACATGTATGCATACACGCTTGGCATGAGTTTGAAGCCACTGTGTTCAGGACTTGAACCGCGGTCAGCCATGTAGAAGTACAGTGACATAACCACTATGCTATCTGCTGGTCCCTTTTTCTTTTCTTTGGAGAGATTTTTGCTATAGGGCATGTGTGCTTGTCAGAGACACAGAGAAGGAGAGATAGAAAGTGAGAAATCTCTCCCCAGGAAGGATGGCCATGTTGCAATCCCTTCTCTATTTTCTTTGAGATTTTGGGCATGCACCTGTGTCTGGAGTGAGTTTCAAGCTGCTGGGTCTGGGATTTGAACCATGGTTGGTTGTGTGGGAGTCAAATGCCTTAACCACTATGTCACCTGCTGACGCCTTATCCAACACTTTTATTAACAGAAGAGAAAAATTATATCCAGAGAGATGAATTGACTCACCCTTGGGACTCAAACCACGGTCGACTGCATGGGAGTTCAGCAACATAACCATTATGCCATCTGCTGGTCCTAACTCCTTTTTATTTGGAGAGATTCACCCCTTAGATGAGTAACATAGTCAGGACAAGAACATAGGTACTCTCATTTAGGTACCTCTAAAGGGTATTTCCACTATATTCTGCCTCAACAAAGATGAAGGGCATGCAGAAAAGAAGGTCAAGAAAAGCTACAAGGGAAGGACTTGACCTGCTTATTATCTATCTATCATCTATGTATATTACTTATATATTATACACATGCTTTCTGATGGATAA